ACTGAATAGTTACTGAATATTTATATGAATTATGTAAGCCTTCCAGGTAGCCAGTCTTTGACCCGGGCCAAAGGGAATATGTTGTGATAGAAGATGATTTTGTTGAGTGAAAGTAAGTGATGATTCCCTCCCCATTAGCTGTTAATTTCCACCTCCTCCTCTATCAACTTTTTACCAAAAATATTAACCAGAAATAAATCTTCTTTTTTGCTTTTTTCCACTTCCTTGGCTTACTTTCTGAATGGAGGGGCTTTTTCACAATAAAATGACTACAGTCTAGGTAGGTGAAGATTCAGAAGCAGGGGCTATATGGTGTTCACAAACAGGCTCCTTTTCTGGAATAGTGGGTGACTGGCTGAAGTTACCAGTTGGAGGACAGCACAAACATGCTTTGGGGCACATCGTAAAGTCCAGTGTATTTCATGGATTGTTTTACTCCCTGGGAAGATGTAGCCCACTTCATCCTGTGTCCGGTGCCTCCTGGAACTTGCCTCTCCACTGCCCACTGCCAACAGTGACAGTCACTGAGCAGCATGAACGAGGTGTCAGCCTCACAACCCCTTACTGAAGTGCTTTGTCCACCGCAAAGCTGGGTGTCACCTGAGAACGGATGTGCTTCTGTACTTTACAGTCACTGTGAGGCACAGGAGAAGAAAAAGAACTTATATACGACCCAGCATTCTAAAAATGAACGGGACAGAGTTACACATGGAGTATCTTCTGTTTTCTTAGTACCTTGTGCAGAGAGTTAAGAATAACCAGTGTTATTGGAGACCTAATCCCATGAAGCAAGCTCTGCTCTATAGGGCATGCTCCAAGCTTAGTTTTTTCTCCTTCCTAAAGCATGAAGCTAACCTGGGCACCAGAAGGATTAATACACAGATGTGTATGTAGCCATAGTGCCACCATGTGCTTTACAGCTTTGGCGAAATAGAAGCTTACAAACAACTAACGACCTTGTTACCCTTCCTTCTTCATTTAGAGTTAATAGCAGAGACAGGCTTGCTCTCGGAAGCTGTAGGTACAGCAGTGGCAAATGTTTAGAGTTGCAAATTGACCAGGCCCACGAGTGACAGAAGTTTTAGAAAATTGGGGCGTATCTTAACTTCTATAGGGAAATAAAGACAAAAATTATTTTTACTTGCTCTATTTGTCAATAGAAAAGTCTTTCCACTTCCTTCAGTACCTTTACACTGAAATGACTGGTGCCTACTCCCCTCCATCACCCCTTTCTCTTTCTCTTCCTTTTCTCTATCTGTTCCAAGGATTCATGGGTCTCTATTGTCCATAAATTCCTTAGGTGTTAACGGACCAACGAAAGGCAGTGTAGCTGAGCGGGAAAGAGTGCAGATGTGGAAGCCAACGTGCTCAACTCATGGGCATGAGCAACTACCTAACTTCTTTGTGCCTAAGTCTCCACATCTGTAAAATAGGGATAATGCAGTAGTCCTTCCTTATCCACAGGGAATATGTTTCAATACCCACTGTGGTTGGCCAGGCACGGTGGCTCATGCCTGTAATCCCAGCACTTTGGGAGGCCCAGGCAGGCAGGTCACATGAGGTCAGGAGTTCGAGACCAGCCTGGCCAACATGGCAAAATCCCATCTCTACTAAGAATACAAAAATTAGCCAGGCATGGTGGCACACGCCTGTAATCCCAGCTACTTGGGAGGCTGAGGCTGGAGAATTGCTTGAATCCAGGAGGCGGAGGTTGCAGTGAGCCGAGATTGCGCTATTGCACTCCCGCCTGGGCGACAAGAGCAAAACTCTGTCTCAAAAAAGAAAAAAAGACCCACAGTGGTTGCCGGAAACCTCAGATAGTGCTGAACCCTATATACACGATGCTTTTTCCTATGCATACATATGGTAAAGTTTAATTTATAATTTAGGCTTAGTAAGAGATTAACAACAGTAACTAATAATAAAATAGGACAGTTAGAACAATATTCTGCATAACAGTATTGTTATTCTGGACTAAGAGTTATGTGCATATGGTCTCGCTCTCAAACTATCTTATTGTACTGTACTATGGATAACTGAAATCAGAAAGCCAAACCATGGATAAGGGGGGACTGCTATAATAATGGTAGCTACTCTCATAGGGTTCTTATGAGGACCAAGTGAAGTTAATACACACAAAGCACCTTCAATCAGTGCCAGATACTTAGTGTTTGTTGCTAGTTTTTATTGAGCATGTACTATGTACTGAGGACTTTAACATGAAACATCTCATTTGAACCCTTACAGCACCCCTCTAGAAGATGGCATTGTTAAACCTCTTTTTCAGTGATGAAACTGAGACTAGAGTAGTTATTGACTGGACAAAGGTCCCTTAACTATGAAGTAACCAATATGAAATTCAGACTCCAATTTTTCTGATTCCAAACTTTCTGCAAAACCACCACACTCCCTACCTCCTGGCATGAACGGATCCGAATGCAGAGCATGGCGGCTGCATGTTTGGTCTGAGACCAATTCCCTGTTAACCTAATGTCTTCTCTCTGTAGCGAAGACTTACACCAGCCTTAAGCTGCCTTGCCTTCTGAAAGTTTCTCCATTGATTCTTTGCCCCACAGAAACATTGGCAGCCCAGTTGTGCATTTTTAGTATCCAGCAGCACTCCCTTCTAATTCTCTGCTCCCTCAGAAGAAATTTCTTCTTTTCTATGCAGGATAAAGCTGGCATCCAGGGTAGAAAATTATTTTGAATGTTGTTTCCCTCAGTGATTGTCTCCCTTTCAATTCAGTTTCTTCTGAGCAGCTCAGTGATAATAGGGCTCCACTCCTCACATCAGCAGGAATCTGCACTTTTGAAGAGAGCATGTGAAGACACAGCGCTAGCCCATTGCCACTACTTAGCAAGACCCAGGAGACTACTGCCACCTCATAGCACAGCAGCCTCTGCTCGCTTCACCTAGAAAGCTAAGTGAAGGTTATTCTTAAATGTACCTGTGGTCTTGACCAGCCCTCTCTTTTAAACTCTTCTTCAACCTGCATGTGTCGCTGCTGGCTGGCGATGTTGGCCACTAGCATTACCATGTCCCATCTGGACTGCTGCACTGGCCACACGCCTTGTCTTCTGCAAGTCCCCCAGGCCGCACTGCCTGCTGCAACCACATGGAGCTTTCTGAAACTGAAGTCCGGTTCCCTGATCCCCTTACCTAAGACACTGCAGTGCCCTCACTACTGCTGGGACAAAGCCATGATCATTGGCACACAGGGTCCAGCCTCCTTTCCCTCCACCATGGGCCTTCCTCCAGCTCTGCAGGCTGGCTGTGCTCTCTCCCAGTGCTGGGGCCACCTTCCCCAGCTCCTTGAAACAAACGCTAAGGACCCTACTGTCCATTCCGCTCATGGTGGCTTTTGCAGGAAGGCCCTTCCTGGGCTCCCCGGCCGGGCCAGGCCCCGTGGTCACACTGTGTCCCCTCCTCCACTGCCTTAGCCACCCTTGCAAGTTATGAGATGTTTGGTAGAAAGCGACATATCTGCCCCTTTGCTTCTCCCCACTTTCTGCCTCCTACTAGCCTATAGCCAGTGTTCACTTCTTAAGCCTATTTAAATTGTTTTGTGTTTAAGATACAAAGAAAAACCATGGCATACAAAGTGGTGCTAAATCTAGCCTAACATAGTCATGTAAAACTGTATTATCTATCAATGTATGTTTTACTTTAAAAAAAAGTCTCTTCCATTTTCATCTTAACATTCTCTTTTTAAAATGGAATAATAGCAACTATAGCCTTGTGGCATGTTTAGCAAAGCAGCACTAGTCCTGGTAGTCCTAGGCTTGGTCTGTTGTTCTGCTCCAGATCTGCTAGGAGATCTGGCCCAGGATAGTGGTTGGGGGTAGTGATCCCTCCTGGCTGTGTCTCCCCGCCTTCTGGGAAGGTTCAGCCAATCAGAGGCACTGGTGAGAGGTAGGGGTGGGACTTAAGGTAGAACCTGGGTATTTATCTCCTCTAGTGCCCCACCTCCCATGACCTGGGCTCCATTTATCTCCTCCTTTTGTCCCTCCAGCCTCAGGGTGGCAATGGCTTCCTGCCCTTCTTATCTCTGGGCTGTGTTACTACCCCATGGAACTTCCACTATATGGGTACCCAGTTCCTATGGTTGAATTTCTTCTGTTGTAAATAAATAGGGCTTTCCATTTTCTAGGTTGGACTCTGATGGATACTCTAGTATTCTCATATGTGATCGTCGTACTTGTTCACATTTTATTTTAGAGGCCTGGAAGATGGACCCTGTGACCGAGTTAGAATCCTCTGATTAAAAACTTCCAATCCTTTGTGTTCACTATGGTCATGGTTTTAGGGGGAACCCTGGCAGGATGTCTGGTGACCCTAGTTCTAGTTCTAGCTGAGTCACTAGGGGAGCTTAGGATCACTCAGGTCAGGGCCTCTCTTTCATGTTAAATGAGTTAGCTCCTTCGGGTCCCTTCTGGCAGCCCCATTTTCTGACTTTAACTCCTTCAGAACCAACACAATTTCAAGTTGCAGTTGTCATTTCTGTGGGGACCGGTGACATATTTCCTTCAGTGTATGGGTCCCTGGCCCCAGCCATCTGTCTTGATGTGTGCAGTGGGTCCCTGAGGGATCAGGTGACAGAATATGGGTGAGCCAAGGCAACTCCATCTCTACCGGGAAAACCAGACAGGCCCTTTCTGATTCTGACCCAGGCAGGGCACAACACACACACAGAGAATAGAGCAAGAGGAAAATATACTGCTCAGCTGTCCTCCTCTACGGGTTTAACGGTGTTTCAAAGATGATGTTTCATATATTCCCCCCAAATATAAAACCCATAGGCAGAAGGTACAGCTGGCACTTGTCTGATGTAATGACTTTTCTTTTTCTCCATTTTAAGCACAATCTTCTTATATTCACTGAACACCATTGCAAACAACACCTTATCCAATATTGCGTATGTATGTATTTGGGGCCAGGTGCTCTGGGTGTCTTAAATAACTTTAATTTACTAAACCTCACTCCCCCTCCCCCACCCCAGCCCTTTCTTTTCAGAAGACACATTTAGACAATCACCATTCACCTCCAATTCAAAAGAACTGCTGCCCAGTGAATCTGTGCTGCACGGAAGAATATCAGCTCCAGGTATGGAAACATTGTTGGCTTTGCTTCTGCTGTTGATTGCTTAAGAATTACTTTTCTGAAACGTGTGAATTTTCAGATACTTTCAGCTTACGGATGTAGTTATTCATATAAGGCTAGGTTTTAGAAAAGAAGGAGAAACTCAATTTAAGCTACAAAAGTTTATTAAAATGTTTACAGTAATAAGCCTCTTCATCTTTGCTTTAAGAGCTTATTGTTCTTTACCTGCTGATATTTCACCCACATAATGAATTTCTTTTTCTTAAAATGACGAAGTATAACCTGAAAATAATTTGCTTCACACATTGTATTTCAGGCTGGCAGCCAGGAATATAAGGGAGGGCAGTGGCGAGAGTGCTAGTCCCCCAGTAGGGCAGGTCATGACCCTAGGGGGTGTGGTCCCCACAAAGACCACCTCAGTTTGCATGGAAACCAGACAGTTCATTGAGGAAACCTTGCCACCCAGACTTTTGTCTCTCTTCTTGGCCGTAGTATCTACATATATCCATCCAGTGCTCCATTTTGCCATCTCAGCCATCAGCACATCATTTTTTATCCATTCTTCCTTTCTTCATTTCTCCTTTCCCGGGTAGAATGAAGGATGTGCTTGCTGTTCCTTATCCACAGCATGGCCATCCTGGAGGGCTTACGTGTGTGTTCTCAGAGTTATTGTGAAATGAGAACATCTGAGAACCGCTGCAGTCTAGTTCATACTCCTTACCCATACCCACCTATCTAGCTGCCAGGAAGCTTCTGCCAGTTGCTACCTTGCCTCCCGGCTGTGGAGAGGATCTCCGCAGCACTCGGTAGCCTCCATCCGCATTCATTTGTCCAGGAGACCAGGGCCGCCTGTGTGCAGGGCAGGACTCACAGCCGGGTTGTTGGCCCCGCAGCCTCTTCAAGAATAAAGTCCAAGTCTCCTCCACATACTCAAGGAGCCCTGTTTCCCAGGGCACTGGAGAACTGATGAATTTGCAATGCAGAAAGAATTCAGTAACATCTGAAATATTGGCCTCGGGTATCACAGGTCATTGGAAATGGCTTGTGACAAACTGGGGGTGGAGGATGGGGGTGGGGAAGAAAACTGTCATTCTTGAGTCTCATAAGGGTAGTTCCGTTTCTTCTCATCGCCACACATTCAGCCAAAGAATCCAGATACCTGCATGCTTTTTAGCTTTGCAGGCAGGGCTTTTCTATTCAAACACCAGAAATAACATGCTTACACAAAAACATATTACATAATGGCTGGTTCTAGAGGTGGAGAGAAATTTTGCCTAGTTTATGTCTTCATACTCAAACAGGGGCTCTTGGAACTACTGTTTACTTCCCACAGTGTCATTTTGAATAGCCATCTCCCTGGTCCCAAAATTATTGCCCTGCTGTTAACTTGATGGATTGTGACTTTCTAATGTCAAAATAACTGCCTAGGAATTGCCTGTCAAAATGCTGTGACCCATACGGCCAGCATCCCATGATATATATACAAACCCTGCACTGCTGGCTTAATGTTTGACTTGGCTGTATTTAAAGCAGGGTTTATCGGTCAAGTTAAAACTTGACCTAAAGAGTGATTTCAGTATATGTTTAACTGTGCATAGGGGGGTTTCTGTGATTTGGTTGATAAACTTATGTTAGACATTAGATGAACCTACACTTTAAAAGCTTAACTCTTATTTGGGGGAGAAGGTCAGCATAACTGAGATTTTTAAAATGTAAATCCGTCCTGCTGAAAGATAATCAATCCACCGTACTTCACTAAAGCCTTTCTTTGGGTAGAGAAAAGCAAAATGACTACATTTACATTTTGTTAAAATAAGCAGCTAAAAAAAAGACATTTTTTTGTTTTAATAAGCAAGGTGAAAATGCTTTGGGAATGGGTTAAAATTAGAAAAAAAATTAAAATGATAGGATCAACCTTGTGGTCACGAAGTTCTCATAATCTGAAGACAGTTTTATAAGGATGGCCTCAATAATTTGAACTAATTGTGGAGAAGAAGTCTGAATTAATCAAAGTTAGCAGTGTGGAGACTTTTAAAGAAAACTTATTTCTTTCAAGTCTGGACAGTGATAAGTGGCCATGGATAAATATACCTACTATACATCTTCAATCCCTTAATCACAATTCTGAAATCCAAAAATCCCTACCAAACAAAATTTTTTTGTATAAATATTTTGTAGCAAAACCTAATGGGAGGCTATTTACTGTCCTTATTTATTGCAACAAGGGGTGAAATTTATATATTTTGTTGCAGAACTATCAGTGCACTTGACTATGAAGTGTTGTTCCAGGCCCACTGGGATGTTACATAAAGTGTGTTTTATGTACCATGTTCTGGTCCTAAAATGAGAAAGAAGTATGAATCCCAAATTACATCTGCCCCCAGGGGATTCAGATAAATATTGTGAATCTACATTTATTTTAGTAATCTGCTAAATTCTGTGCTGGGAGCAAGGACACTGAAGCTACAGTTGAGGATCTTAGAGTTCTGGAGTATAAGAGTCATGGGTTCTCATAGAACATTTCATCTGGGATAATAAGATTGGAGTGTGAAAGGAAAATATGAAAAGAAATTTTTGAAAGACCAATCCGGCAGCAGATTACTGAATCATTGGAGAGGACTGGGGGCAAAAGACAGGAGCCCAGCCAGGATCCTCTAGTTCCAGGGCAGCTTTATTAATGAGGGCCTGAGTTAGAGAGAAAAAGAGGAGTGGGGTGGGAGAAGCAGACAGAGGATGAGTTGGCTGGTTGAAGACTGGTTAGCTTTGCTAATAAGCACGTTGAATTAGGAAATGATAGTGGCTGTGCAGAAATGGGGAAGCCAGAAAAGAGACAGCTGGCTTTAGTGACTAGGTAGAAAATGATTTGTTGTTAGTATACAAATGAAAGCCTCAGAATCTTTAGAAATCTTCTCTTAGGTAGTTTAAACATTACTATTAAAAAACTCTTTCTACCCTTTATTTACTTAGCAAACCTCTTCTTTCAGCAGATAATACAAAAATAAATGTCAGCACAGAGAATTCTCTCAGATTCCCAATTAGTAGAGACCATAATTAATGAGATATAATGTGCCTAGTTCCATTTCCCTTGCAAATGCTGAAAATACATAGCATTATTTCAACAATATATACAGCATTGGTATATAGTTATGTCCCTTCTACCAATAGGATGAAGAGTCCAGATGCCTTCAGATTAAGACCACCGGGTAAGGAGGTGCCAGAAGAGAATATCATTTAGGGCGTAACAGCTGCTGGGCCAAGGGGATCCATGGTATCCTCAGTGTGTTGTGCTTGTGTTTCAGGCCTGTTGGAGAAGGAAGCCAGCAGTGAGGGGGATTGCAAAGTAGGGAGAGGTTGGTAGAACTGTGGACTGTGAAGAAATCGAGAATAGCACAGTTAACTAGGCATTTGCCTTCGGCAGATGGCATCTGAAACTCACAGCTGCCACCGTCCCAGAGAAACAGAATAAACACAGAGCTTCACGGTGTCCTGGCTGCGGTTGTTGCCAGTATTTCTAGACTGACTTTCCTGAGAACTAAAGAATGCTCATGTTAGCCAAGACCTAACATTTTCACTTGCTGCGAATGTCTTAGGCAGAGGTAGCATCAGGAATCTTTAATAAAATGGTGAGTTAAAAACTGCTGTCACCTTCTGCGGGAGGGATGTGAGGACAAAATATCCTTCGAGCCATAAATAGATTACTGAATGTACCCTGGGGGGTGATGTTGCTGCTGGTGACTTTACAAAAGAAATAAAAGAGCTTTCCTATCATGGGGGAGATAGAAATTACAGACTACGTGTAATTTAATGTGCTTTATTTAATTTATAGTTGTCTCACTTTGTGCAAGATTTACATCAATAGAAGAAAGATTCCGAGGTCAGGTGATTTTCGGGGCACGTGGGTAATTCTGTATTAAAAGAAGACCCATTGCCATTGTACCTGCAGCTGTCCCTGTTTCCCATCATCTTGCTGTAAGCAAAGGCTGTTAAGAGAAGAATTTATATCCCAGTACTGCTTTTAAACAATGTGGAGCTTCCATTCTGTGTTATTATGATTTTGAAGTCACAGTATGTTTGCTCTGTATTAAGCCAAAAAACAAAAACACAACCAGAGCGGGTGTGAAGGAAAATGTGGGTCTCCATGGAATTCTCTCCGAGTGTTTGGAGTCCCCGATGCTTCCGTGTGTTATTTCAGATGCAGCCTGGAGTGAGATGATGTAAAGCACATCTGCAATTATATTCGTCAATCCCTTTCCTCATTATTTCCTAACTTGCATTTAAAAAAAAAAAAAACTCATTTTGTTGGTTTTGTTTATAACGTACGAACAAGAAAAGATGAACATCAGCACCCATCACAAAAACAAGCTTTTTATGATAGGCAGGGGGAAGTTTTAGTTTCTTCCAGGACCTGCTATGCCAGTCAGAATTTGACGTTCAATCAAAAGTCTGGTTTGGAATTGTCTGCCTTGTCCCCAGTCTTGTTCTTGATCCATTTCCCCCTCTCTGGTCTGCCTATCAATCTAATATACTGTGTCATATACTTTCCTGAAATCTGAATAAATGATGCCTTGCATTAGAGTGCCACCTGCAACTAGCTCTCAGCCTGACACACTCCTGGTCAGATGTGAATGACCTCTTTAAGACAGTTGGCTTAAAAAGATATGTCTCAATGTGTGCACGTCACCTTCCTTTGTGTTAAGACTTCCGACTCACGCCTCAAGAGAGAGAGACACACATATAAAGCTGTCTTGGATTATATTACAGCAAACTATTTTCTTCAATCCATTCTCAAACACAGCAGATTCTTTTTCAATTTAGACAAAGTCATAGATAAACAATAGAACATTGGATGTTGGTGTGTATCGTTTTGTAACTTGAGCTCCTTTGTGATGAGACAAATTCATTTTGTACAGAGAAAGAAGCTAGCAGTTTTCAAGGATCTATTAAATTGTCAGGCACAGGACATATGTCATCTCATTTTTAATTCTGGAAACAACTCATTGAGA